TTTGGTGTGGATAGAATGAAGGCTGGGAGATGCCTGAGTCCTCCCTGGTAGAAGTGAAGAACAAGAAGGATATATGGGCCCCAGAGGGTATGGTGGGCAGAGCAGGACTTGAAATCCATACTGCCTGGCTCTAGGTGTGTCAGAGGGCCTCACCTTCTCAGCACCAGACATGCCATAGGAGGCCACGTGGAAGACACAGTCTACCCCTTTGAAGGCTTGGTACAGGGCTTCTTCATCTCGGACATCAGCCTGAAACAGAGAATAGATGGGCAAGAGGTTCAAACCTAAGGCAAAATGACCTAACCCAGGCCAAGCATCTGGAAGGCCAGGATTTACTGTGTGACTCTACAGAGCTGCAGCACTGTCACTGGCTCCCACCCATTCAGCTCCTGGGTGGGCCTGGGACTGACCTGGGTGTTTTATATGCACGACCTCACAGACTCCCTATGAGGTCCTTGGAAAGTACATATGAGTATTGTCCCTTTCTGTGAATAAGGACTGAGGTTCAGAGGAGGTGGAAGCTGTGGCCATAGCTGCCCATCTGGGAAGTACAAGAGTTGGAGTAGAGGGATGGAAAGATGGCTCAACAAGTAGAAGTGCTTTCCAAGCAAGCCTGGAGATCCATCCCCGAGATCCACAGAAAGCTGAATGTGGCTGCCTGCATCTGTAACTCCAGGACTCTTATGGCAAAAAGGGAGGTGAAGACAGGACAATTGTCTGGAAGCTCTTGGGGAAGCTAGGCTGGAGTATGCAGCACAGTAGCAAACAGAGACCCTGTCTCAATAAGGTGGATGGAGTGGAGAGAACCCATTCCTGAAACTTGTGCTCTGGCACATGTATACCTGTACACACACACACGCACGCATGCACACACACATGCACACACACACTGATGACAAATAAAAGTTTTTTTGTTGTTTTTTCTTTTTTCTTAAAAGACAGGGTCTTACTGTGTAGCCCTGGTTGGTCTGGAACTCACTCTGTTGGCCAGGCTGGGCCTCTGCCTCCTGAGTGCCTGGATTAAAGGTGTGCACCACCGCACCCGGCAAAAAGTAAAACAGTAAAAAAAGAAAAAAAAAGGGAAAAAAAAAGTTGGAGTTGAGTCTGGCTTTGGAGTCTGAGAGATCTCAAACTCCAGCACTGGTTCACATCTTCATATCAGATAATGTTCCCCTGACTACTACCATCACTGCCAGCACCACCATCAGCAGTACCACCATCAGCAGTGCCACCCCATCAGCAGCACCATTGGCATCACCTCCACTACCATTAGCAGCACCATTACCACCACCAGCAGCAGCACCATCAACAGCACCATCATTATCATCATCATCATTATCATCATCAGCAGCAGCAGCAGCAGCAGCAACCCCCTGAATGATCCCTGTTCTTTGTACCTGGATGAACTCGATCCCCGAAGGTAGTGGCCACTGGGGTCTGCGGAGGTCAAGTAAGATGACGGACGTGCCTCTTCTGGCCAGGCTAGAACCCAGGCTAAAGCCGAGGTAGCCTCCTCCTCCAGTCACCAGAATCTTCTGTCTGGGGGCCTGTGTGGATTTGACCCGAATCTTCTGCTGTAGTGTTGGTGATGGGGTTATCACTGATTCACTGGGTTTGGAACCAGTCTCAGACCCCTGTCTGGACCCAGGTGCTAGCTCTAGGCCAGGTGATGATGCAGCTTTTGGTCCAGTTACTGACTCAGCTCCTGGCTGAGGTACTGACCCAGGTACTGACTCAGCTTCTGGCCTGGGTCTAGACCTAGCTCCTGGACCAGGTAATGGTCCAGCTCCTGGCCTTGGTCCTGGAGCAGCAGTAGGCTCTGAAGCAACAGGTCTCACCCCAGTCCTAGAAGCAGCACCAGGCCCTGGCCCAGAACCTGGAACAGTGCTAGGCACTGGCCCAGGTCCTGGAATAGCACCAGGTCCCGAAATAGCCCCAGGTCCAAGCTAGGTGCTAGCTCTAGCCCAGGTGATGATGCAGCTTTTGGTCCACTTACTGACTCAGCTCCTGGCTGAGTTACTGACCCAGATCCTGGTCCAGTTACTGACCCAGCTCCTGGCTGAGGTACTGACCCAGGTACTGACTCAGCTTCTGGCCTGGGTCTAGACCTAGCTCCTGGACCAGGTAATGGTCCAGCTCCTGGCCTTGGTCCTGGAGCAGCAGTAGGCTCTGAAGCAACAGGTCTCACCCCAGTCCTAGAAG